CCCCAAAACCCCAAAACCCCAAAACCCCATTGTTTTAAAACAATCAATATAACAAAAAAATCACAAACACTAACAAATTCCTTCCAGCTAAAATATCCCTCTACATCCCCCCTATCCTCACCCCAGGTCCCTCCAAAGTTCCCTTCCTTGTCCTCTTCTAAAATTTAGCTATCTCCTAAACCTATTAACATAATATTGTGGAACAGAGGTTAAAAATATGGTTCAAATTTTAATAACCGGCTTGAAATAGCTGGGTTTTGGAGTAATGGCTTATTTGGGCTACATGGTCTATGTGTTGTTAGTGTACCCGTATTTTTGTTGGAGGAGGTATAAAAAATACAGCAATGTGTATACGACAGAGGAGTTTATTCCTGTGCTAGGGGATCTGAAATGTATCAATGATGATTTAAACCAAGGAAGAGTGCATTACTATGAAAAGATGCAGAAAGCTACAGAGATGAAAGGTAAAGATCTTAGAATGAAGTTTGAAGGATATAGTCCTCTTATACTTATTCAATCCATTAAAGCACTTGAAGAGTTTGCTAGGCTTGTACCTTCGAAGATTGATAGATTCAACACCGGAAGAGGTCTGAGCAAGGTTTTGATAGGCACATTCTTGTTTGAGAGGAGTATCAAGAGGACTATGATGAGAAGAAAGATACTCACAAGCTTCTTGAGTCTTAATAGTTCATCTAGACATATCCCAGTGATGATGATATATACAATTGAGATTTTGAAGCCTTTGAAACAAGGACAGAGTTATGACTTCATCGAGCTTGCTAATATCCTTACCTTTAATATCTTCACTAGTGTCTTGTTCGGAGATGATATGGTCGATCTGGCTAATAAAGTAAGGCCTTATAAAAATCCAGATGGGACTACATCAATGGTCCCATTGAGAGATATCATGATTAACGTGTTTAAAAGTTGCTTTATGCAGATTTTTCATCCTTTGACTGCAACTTTAAAGCCTATCGCAGATGCAAATATTGTGAATCCTTTTAAGAGAGACAATGAGAATAGACTCACATTTATCGAAGGAATGAAGGAACTCTACAATAACTGTAAGGATGAGACCTCTATCTGTAAGCCGATCTTGAAGAATGAGCAGATTACTGAGCATGAAAAGATATTAGATCTAAATACGTTCATCTTCGCCGGAGCTGAAACTTCTTCACATGGAATTGTATCGACTCTCTTCTTTTTGAAGAAATACCCCGAAATATTTGCGAAATTAAGAAAAGAGATCCAAGATGCTGGGATCAAGTAAGTACTGAATAAGATTTTAATTTTGGGATAAGATTTTGATTTTTCTACCAAATTTTTGAGAATAGTTTTACTCTAGTTGAAATTCGGCAAAATTTCCTGAAAAGAGTTATAAAATCATTCTAATCCTTTATTTATAGCAAAGAGACTGTCTCCAGTGAGAGCTTGACTAGAGAGAAGATTGAAGAGTTGGACTACCTCTCATGCGTCATAAAAGAAGGACTTCGGATTGATGGTCCAGCTTCTGAATCGTTCTTTTACATTGCAAAACAAGATATTGAGATATGCGATGTTCCTATTCCCAAAGGATTACCTATCAAAGTCGATTTCACTGTTGGACATTACAATGCAGAGTACTGGAAAAACCCTTGCGATTTTATCCCAGAAAGATATGATCAAGATTCAGAGTTCTATAAGCAGGTTGAAAAAGAAGGAAAAGTTGGTCTTGGATTCTCTACCAGACCCTTTTCTCATAGAATCAGAGCCTGTCCAGGCCAATCATTTGCAGTTCTTGAGATGAAAGTAGCTCTTATTGTCATTCTCACTCTGATCGACTTTGAAGTCGATCCAAAATTATTAGCAAAGGAAGGAATAGGATTTGGAGTTGGTAGCAAGATCATACCATCTTTTAAAATTAGCTGCAAATGAAATTGAGGTTCCCTAGTATTCTTTGAAACTTCAATCTAGATATGATCAGAAGGGGTTTTGGGGTTTTGGGGTTTTGGGGTTTTGGGG